TTGGCTCCGCCATGATAAACACAACCTCAATCTTGCAGTCAACTGGAATGATGTTTTAAGGCACTATCGACTAATCCCGTAGTCGGACAAACAAGAATAATGTGTCGTTCTCCCCCTTTTACTAAACAATTGATAAGTTTAGTGGTTTTACCGATACCAGTTCCAATCGCTAAATGTCCGGCATTGCCTTTATCTCCCCCAATGACTTCGATTTCTTCTTCTACTCATTTATCTTTGCTCATCAGACCACCTTTGATAAATCTTTTGACTACCTTTTTGCCGATTTGACAAAAATGGATGTTAGGGTCGGTTAATTTATCCGGATTGAACGGATAACCTTTGGCATCTTTACTTTTTTTATAAAAGAAGTCTAATAAATAAGCCCCCTTTTGGGACATGTGAAGTTTATCTTCCGCGGCAGTTTTTTCTTTGGGAAGTTCATAGCCGCCTTGTTTGCTTAATCAACTGTGGGGCTGACCTTTTTCATTAGTTCCGTATAATTCAGCGTTCGGAGCATTTAAATCCTCTCATTTTTTCGGATTTTGGAAAAGTCCTAGGGCTTGAACGTCTTTATCAGCGGCAATAAAAGCATTTAAACGGGCTACTGTCATCGGTTCATAATTTGGGACATTTCAAGTATTTTGTAAATTGGAGGAGAGTTTTTTTAAAGTGGTTTCTTCTAGTCCTCCGTCTTTTGGGTCGGTTAAATAGTAAAAGAGGTTATTCCTCTGGGCTTTTTCCGCCTCTTTTATTTGCTGGGATTTATTGGGAGGTAGCAGGTCAGTTTTTAATTCAGAGAATTGTTTATCTATTTGAGCCTGATTGGCGTCTAAATCTCGTAAATATTTGTAAGAGTTTATTTGTTTAACTAGATTATCTACTTTTTGGATTTCTTGGTCGATGTCTTGTTTTTTAATTTTTAAAACTTCGATATTTTTGATGTTTTGGTAATTAGTTTTACCTTCTTTAATTTCAGAAGGAGTGGCCCACCCATTATCGTAAGCAATTCGCTGGTCTTTTCCCGTATTAGGTAATCCAGTGTGACCCACCCTTCATAATTCTATTTCTGAGTCGGATAATTTTGTGGGATTTTGGCCTTGGAAGTATTGTTTGAATAATTCCTTAATTCTTTGGTCCCGTAATTTTTGTAATTCCTCATGGTTGATAGTGTCCGGGACTTTTTTTTCGTTATAAGCACCTTCAATTATTTCATTAGTAGGAAATTTGTCTAAGTCAGTCTGTAGGTCAATTTCTTTAACGATAAAATCATGGGCCTGATCTACTTCTTCCGCTAGGTGTTTTAAAGGATTGATATTTTTGGTAGTTTTAGGGTATTTTTGTCCTTTAACTATGGTTTCTGTCGTGTAAACTTCAATTATTTTATCCTTGTTGATTAAGCCATTAGGGCTGTTATTCCAACCATTAGCATATATTTTTTCGGCAATACCAATACTTAAGCCACTGTCGCGTCAACTTTTTTCTCACTCTTTATTGATTCTACTATCGCCTTCTCTTTCGCGGAAAAATTTATCCCAGGCTAATTTTCTCCTTTGGACAGGAATATCTTTTAAGATAGTTTGAATACCCTCGGGGGTATGACTTTCTTTATCTATTCGGCGTTTTTCCGTGTCGTTGAAATCTTCGCCTAAAATTTCTTGGCCTTTGGATTTGGCGTCTTCAAAAAGGTCTTCGGCTCCTTCTACATTCGAACCAAATTTATCTCTTCATAAAGTTTCTTTATCAGAAGGGATAAGGTGTTTTTTGAAGAATTTAAGCCAATTTTCGGTGGCTTTGATTTCGGCTTGATATTTGGCTTGTAAAAGGGCGATTTCGCGGTCGTCTTTATATTTGCCTTCTCGTCCTGGAGGGACATTTTCGCCGCCTTCTTTTGGGTAGAATTTGTCCGGGCCGAAGATGTCGTGTAATCCTTCTAAAATTAGGCCGTTGGGTTTTAATTCTTTAAGAACTGTATTGGTTGTTTGTTTTTCACTTTGGTAAATTCCGTCTTGGAAGTTTTGGGGGCCGCCTAGTTTTTGTTCTACTACTTGGGAAATTACCGCTTTATTTTGTTCCCCTTGGATGTTTTTTAAGTCTTGGGTTTGATTTCA